AATTTTTTTAATATTGACTTTTACAGAAATAGTAAAGTTAAGATAATTTATTATTTTAATTAATTTCGAAAATCTATAAATTTTAAAATTAACTTATGTATATTGTTTTACTTTTTTAAGTTTCCTTTATACATATTTATTGTTATTATTTTTATTTAGTAACATTAACATTTTTAAAAATAACAAATCAAAAAACTTATGTGTCATGATATGATTGGAAGACTTAAATCCTATGTAGTTGTTATAGTCATATTGACTTTTTCAGAAAATAAAAATTAAGATAATTTGTTATTTTAATTTTAAAATTAAATTATGTAAAATGTTTTAGTTTATTAAGTTTCCCTTATGCATATTTTCTTTAGTAACATTAACATTTTTAAAAATTAAAAATAAAAAAACTTATGTGTCATGATATGATTTGAGGACTTAAATTCTACGTGGACGCCCTCATGGCTTATAGCCTCAACTTTTATATAGTATAGATAATATCTGATTAAATTTTGTCATATTTTTTGATCAATAAGTAATAACTCGAAACTCATTAGCAAACCAGCCTTATTGATGTTAGAACTTCAATCTTATTAAAACATTTTCTAAGATCATCGAAAACCAAAGAAGAAGTCAAAGCAACCATTGTATCAATATCTCTTTTCTATTTCCAATATCTCTCTGTTTCTCAACATATATTTTGAAAACTTTTAGAACTTTAGACAATTATTTATAGTCACTCAATACTTCATATATTATAAAATTTTTATGTTAATATACAAACATTTAGAAACCCTAACATTAAAATTTGGAAATCTTGACATTTTACAAATTAATAATTTATATTAATAATCTGCTTTATTCTATTTTATGTTAATATACAAAACTTTGGAAATCTAGACATTTAAATTTGGAAATCTTGACAATTTAAAAATTAATAATTTGATTTATTCCATTTTATGTTAATATAGAGAAATTTGGAAATCCTATCATTTAAATTTGGAAATATTAACATTTTAAAACTAATAATTTATATTAATAACCTAATTTATTAGATAATATACTTTTTAATTAAACTAATTTGGAAACAATGATATTTAAAAAAAAATTATTTTATTTTGTAAGATTATTTTGTTACTTTTACTCTTTTACTATTAGATTATTATTTTATATTTGTATAAAATATACTTTATATTTAGTATATCTAAAAAGACAATAATGTTTTGTAAATATTTTTTTCAATTTTTTTATAATAGTTAATTTTTTAAAATATGTTGTAAAAATTTGAATATTTATTTTGTAGTTAATTATATATGGAATATTAATTTCGTTTTTAATATAATTTGGAAACATTAACATTTTCTAAAAATAATACTTTACATTTAGTATATCTAAAAAGACAATAATTTTTTGTTAATACTACGTTTTTATTTTTGATTTTCCATTTTTATAATAGTTAACATTTTTATGTAATTTGTAAAATGTTAATATTTATTTTGTTATTTAAATTATATATGGAATATTAATTTCATTTTAATATAAATTTGGAAACAGTGACATTTTATAAAAATAATAAACTAATATAATGATGTGTCATTATACGATTGAAGAACTTAAATCCTATGTGGACGCCTTCAATGGCTTATAGCCTCAACTTTTATATAGTATAGATTCCCAAACTCTAGTGGGACCTCTTTCTCCACTCGAATGCCTTGTTGTAATGACGACAGATGACAAGTTGTGTGGTCCTGGCAATTTTCTCTTTGGACTTTTATTATAATGTTAAAAGGTATTAACATAATTTCTTTTTTAAGTGTCGTGTGTATATATTGGTTTGCCGTTCGTAATGCGAGTCATTGCTTACTCGGAAACATTGAAGCTTGACGTGATCTTTATTTAAAAAAACAAAACTAGGAGTATTTGTATGATATTACCATGACTTAAGAAGACAACGTCTGCTGCTTTCAACTAGGAAAGATTATAATATGAATCAAAAAGCACAACACAAGTGCTGTAATCCAGGTCGGTACTGATATGTTCATATAGAATTCCACTTATATGACACGTATAGATACACAATTATTACAATATAAGAAATCTGAACTACACTGTCTGTAAAATCTATTATACTGTAAATTTTGATACCAATGTAGTATAAGTGAATAAAATACTACACTGTCCTCCAGTAGTATCTTTGGATACTTTACCTTGAGCTAAACACGTGTACCCTGCTGTGTTTGTGACTTTTGTCTCATGACAACATATAAAAGGTTATTAACTAGTAATAAAAACGTTACTGTGTGAAAGGAATTAATGAAATATTTTACAAGTACAACAAGTACACCAAGTAAACGAATGAGAGGCGATTATAAATTTACATACAAAGGAATGAAACATTGTCCAGGGGAAATGAATCCTAAGAAAGTAGAAAGTACACACTGAAAAAGTTTTTTTTTTTTTAAATAGTTAGTAGTCAGTAATAGAAAAATGTATAGCATAGAAACTTTCATTTAATGCTAAATTTAATATTAGGGAAGAGTCCATCAATCATGCGTTATGCATGTTAATGCGGCCAACGAATCTTACAAACGCAAGAAAACTTGTTTTGATTCCCCCTCGTCGAACTAGATCCACTCACATTGTTGTTTATTGTATAGACTTTTCTGTGTTGAAAAAAATACAAATAAACATAGAGTAACTAGTACGGACAAAGAGTTTGGTTCAATGTATTTTTACAACTTTATTGATGAATTCTCCCGGTAAAATTAGCAGAAACAGAATCTAGTACTCCTATTTACCAGACAACAACCAAACAAATAGTAAATAAATAATCTAAAAGTAATAATAATTATAAACTTTAACGTATAGATCTTTCGAGATTGAAAGAACGGTGAAGATGTATTGTAGACCATAGTAACTATAATGGTCTATGCAACAGGTGATTACTTCAAGTCAATAATAAAGTCCATAAGCTGGCTTTATATAAATGGACATCAAATCAACCAGCTTCCTCCTACTCCTCCTCCTTCTTCCTCTCTCTCTGAGCTGACTCTTGATTCTTGAATCTGCTTCCTCCTTAATTCCAAAGTCTCGTTTTTTCTAGAGATTAGTATTAGCAATGGCTTCTTACTACACAGGGTCTTCAGGTTATGAAGAGCCACACTTTCTAGAGTCTTGCTCTCTTTGCCGTAAACACCTTGGTCTTAACTCAGACATCTTCATGTACAGGTACTTTAATCCGTTCAAAAGTCATTTTTTATAAAAGTTTACATTAAATTTTTTTTTTTTTTATTGATATTGAGGTGTTTCTTGATTTTTTGTTTACAGAGGAGACAAGGCGTTTTGTAGCAATGAGTGTAGAGAAGAACAGATTGAGTCTGATGAAGCCAAGGAGAAAAGCTGGAAAGTTTCTGCTAGATCTCTCCGTAAAAAATCTTCCGAAGCTGCTAAAGATTGCAAAACCGTTCGGACAGGAACTCTTGTGGTGGCTTAGTTCAAAACACTTTTATTACATAAGCGTATAATACCCTTTTTGGTCATAAAAGCTATATATATATATATATATATATATATATATATATATCCTTTAAAAAGCCCTACTTAAGAACAACCTGCGAAGATTTGCTCTGTCTCGATGTGTCTTGATCAGAATGATTATGGATCTGAGAAACTGTAAAGATCTGGGAAGGGGAGAGTGTTCATTGGAGGGGTTTAAATTTTGTTCCATGTTACCACAAGAAACAGAGCAT